TTAACAACTACTCCATTCCCCTTGACAGGCTTTAACTCTCTGTCAGGTTTATCCTCCATGATTAAATTGTTCAAGCCACCTGGGAATGTGGTGAAGGAGTCTTGTAGTAACTTGCACTATCTGTATCCCCCGATAACAAAGTCACCCCGACCTAGGTTGCCTCCGTTTGAAGTCTCAGGGGATTCTTATTATTGTTTTTCTAGGACTAATAAGATAGGATACAGGGTAGGGCATCTTAGCTCCTGCTCCCACACAGAGAATGTTACAACTAAAGAGACCATGACTAATCTCTCCTCTTTGTTGCAGCCAGAGGATTTTAGGAACCAAAACCAGGCCTGTGCTGACATCTGATGGTTGTGTGGTGATAACAGATTGTGAACTCACCTACATACGCAAACAATCAAACGTGTCAGAGACTGGTGAGTTGTCACGTAGAAAGTGGGACCTCCTCCCGGGATCCTTTGATGAAAGGATATATATTGATGGGATAGGAGTACCTCGAGGGGTTCCAGAAGAATTCAAAGCTAGGAATCAGATCGCAGCTGGGTTTGAATCAAGTCTTTTCTGGTGGTCAACAATTAATAAAAACGTAGATTGGATAAATTATATTTACTATAACCAGCAAAGATTTATAAACCAAACTGGTGATGCAATAAAGGGATTGGCTGAGCAGACAGCGGCAACTAGCTTAATAGCACGGCAGAATAGAATAGCTTTAGATATGCTTTTGGCTGAGCGGGGCGGAGTTTGTGTTCTGTTTGGATCTATGTGCTGTACTTTCATCCCCAACAAAGCGCTTCAGGGACTCACCACGCTGGCGAACGAACTGGCTGAGAACTCTGGTATTGATAGCTCCCTAAACGGTTGGTTTGATAACATATTTGGTAAATGGAAAACTATTGTTGTAACTATTCTGGGTGAAGTTATAGCTTCTATGGGTATACTTGTTCTTTGTGGATGTTGTCTTATTCCCTGTGTCCGAGGGTTGGTGAGAAAGGCGATGGAGCAGGCGGTTTCCCAACAGATGGTGAGATACGGCCCAATCCCGGACTCCGACCTAAGGAATGAAGGATATGACCTACCAGGCTTGGTGGAGTGACACCCTAGAGGGTGTCTAAAGGGGGCCAAAATTTACTTCCGTGTTTGTGTTTTATGTTTTAATAATCTTGTGTTTTGTGTTTTATTAATCCTGTGTTTTATGCTTTATTAATCAAGTTAACCATTGTGAATGTTTGTCTTTTCTTATGTGAAGGTTTGAAGTTCCTGGGTGGCTGGTAGCCAACCTAGTACAAGTTGGGTGTAGATGGAAGGACTGAATGCCTTTTTATTATCATTATTGCCTATTAATAAAAGTGTGATTCTTTTTGTTTGTATTGTATTTTAATGAGTGACACCCTAGAGGGTGTCAATACGGGGAATCCTAAATTTTCCTGAAATTTCTTATTTTGGGTTTTCTTATTTTGGGTTCACACCCAGTGGGTGTGAAAAGGGGGATTGTGGGGTTCTATTTTCTCATAACTGGATGTGATGCCTAGCTTAGAAGGAATGCATTAATGATTAAACATAATGGGTTTGTACTGTACTGATATAAATTGTTTCACATAGCAAGCTGTGATTCATGTGAGGAATGTTAGGGAGTAGGGTGAGACAGACTTGTATTTCTCACAGACACATACACACTGCCTCTGTTAAACTGCGCTCAAGGACATGTACTGCAAAAAGGTGCTGACTCTACAAGTTGTGATGATAACAAGTTATGCCTGGCAACAATGTGCAACAGTGAAGCGCCAAGGGGCTGGGACCAGCCTGTGCGCCAACGATTGGCTGAGTAAGTCTAAACCACGCTCAGTCTCTACCCTGATAGGCCCAGCAAGGAGCGGGAACTATCACTGTCAGGGTATTTAAAAAAGAGCCTGTAACAATGGATCAGTTCTCTGTCTGCCCTGCGTGTTATTTCAGTGAGCCCGTATACGAACCATCATACTTATCATACATACATTTTGCATATAATACATTTAGCTTGGATTGAATATCTCTTGATTATGTTTTCTCTTATTCCAATACCAGATTTGAATTACGCTATTTCTAACAATAGCAACCCTAGATTTGTGTCGGGACTATCTTGTGGAAGGATGAAATAGTACAAATAAATTAATCAAAATAACGTTTTTAATGAAAATATGTCAATCATTATTTGAATATGTTGGTAACCCGTTGTATAAAAGTGATAATGCCCTCGAAGCCGGTGTTAGGAGGATATATTGGCACGGTTTGTTAACTACACCCGTGCCAATATATCCTCCAAACGCCGGCTTCGAGGGCATTATCACTTAAACAATTCACATGGTGCTAAAGTAGCTAGCTAGTTCGCACTGGGATCTCTTACCTTTCGTAAGTGTATATTATTATTTCATTCATTTCTATTACCACATACATGTATAGTGATTTTATGTAGTTTGAACATATTCATTTGTTTTATATGACGCACGAGTACTATAATTGTAGCTAGCTAACATCCATAGCAATCCAATTCATGCTCAAAGCTGTAGCTAACTTTTAGCTTCGCCTTGAGTGTTTAGTATGTATCAGACATTTCTTAACTGAATAAGCAATATCAAATGGTTTTCAATTAAAAATCTTGCAGTTGACAGCCTCTTCCTCTCTGTTGACAGTCAGTGATCGCAGTTCCTAGCTAACTACACCTGTTAACTTAGTTAGTAGCTAGCTCTAGCTACCGCATTTTGAACTGTCACATACAGCTAGCTAGATAATTGTATATGGGCTGTGACAGTGGTTTCATCTCACATAGAACAACAACACAACAGAACAGACACAAGACTGAGCAGTGGTGGAAAAAAGACTCAACTGTCATACTTGAGTATAGATACCTTAATTGAAAATGACTCAAGTAGAAGTAAGTCACCCAGTAAAAGTCTAAAAGTATCTGGTTTTAAATGTAGAGTGGTGGAAAAAGTACAACATTTTCAAACTTGAGTAAAAGTAAATGCTATACATCAAATCCATTATAGTAAGCAAATCAGATGGGACGATAAAATATATATATATATTTTTTTACAAATGCAGTATTTGAGTATGTTGATTCCGCCAGATCAGAGGCAGTAGGGATTACAATGTGTTATATTTATGGGTGTATAAACTGGAACATAATTATGACCTGCCTGGGCTCCCGAATGGCGCAGCGGTCTAAGGCACTGCATCTCAGTGCTTGAGGCGTCACTACAGACCCCCTGGTTCAATTCCAGGCTGTATCACAACTGGCCGTGATTGGGAGTCACAATTGGCCCAGCGTTGTCCGGGTTTGGCTGATGTAGGCCGTCATTGTAAATAAGAATTTGTTCTTAACTGACTTGCCTAGTTAAATAAACGTTAAATAAATAAATATATACATTTGAAATGTAACGAGTACTTTTTGGTGTCAGGGAAAATGTATGGGAGTTTTTCTTCAGGAATGTAATGAATTAAAAGTTGTCAAAAATATGAATAGTAAAGTAGAGATACCCCCAACAACTACTTAAGTAGTACTTTAAAGTATCTTTACCTAAGTACTTTACACCACTGAGACTGAGTGGACTACCTATGCCAATTAGCTACCTGTGTCTCTGAATACCTGTGTGTAAACGGAACACAGACGCCACAAACATGGTGTCACTGAAAAATACTGTCGGCTGCAACTGTGTTAAAACTGGTTAAAACAGTGTACAGTAAGTGTATAGTTTGCATTTGTGAAATTAATTTTGTGATATGAAAGTAAAGGGTTTTATTTTTCTAGAACCGTACCGCAATTGAGAATCGATTCCTGTTTAGATGGAGTATTTGGCTGTTTTGGCTTCGAGACAATTTTGCCTTTAAACAGAACATGTAAGGGCCTTGGACTAAGGAGTAATGTTAGGCTCCTTTAGTCCAATATTGGGCTAGCTGGTTACAAGATTAAGCTTGACCTCAGCTGTGAAACTAACAGGAAGTTGCTACAGTACATTGTTGAAACTGTCTCTTATGTCCTTTCAGTTTCTATTTCAGGTAGTTCCCTGCTCACCTCATATTGACTTTCTCTGCCAATGGGCTGACACCTGGTTGCTGAGATGTTGCTGAAAGACATTCCTCAAGAGGTGCTGATGCGCCCTCTGTCTCAGAATGAAGTAGTGGCATGATGGTGAGACTGTCCATCTTTGGGGCTGCCACCTACTACAGCATCAAATGGGTCAAGCAAAGGGTATGCACACATTGTTTATGTTTTAGATCTGAATCATCTAAAACATGGTGATATACAGTGAGCTCCAAAAGTATTGGGACTGACATATTTTTTGTTGTTTTGGCTCTGTACTCCAGCACTTTGTGTATTAAAGTAGTCAAACGTTTAGTCTTTGGTCCTATGCTCCTAGCACGCAATGATTATGTCAAGCTTGTGACTCTACAAACTTGTTGGATCGATTTTCTGTTTGTTTTGGTTGTGTTTCAGATTATTTTATGCCCAATACAAATTAATGGTAAATAATGTATTGTCATTTTAGAGTCACTTTTATTGGAAATAAGAATAAAATATGTTTCTAAACACTTCTACATTAATATGGATGCTACCATGATTATGGATAGTTCTGAATTAATCGTGAGTAATGATAAGTGAGAAAGTTAGAAGCCCTAATATCAGCTGACTGCTGCTGTCTTCACATTGGCTGTCAAGATCCAGCCATGTATCATCTTCATAGATGAAATTGGTGAGTGTTTCGTATCTCTCACTGGTTTTAAAACTACTTTGTGAACCATTAGATATTGATACTGGGTGATAGCTATTCACACACTGTACTAATTAAATATCCAGTAGCCTAATACCTCTCTTGACTGATATCATTTACAGATTTTTCAACCTCAATCATTATATAATCATATATGTTTACTTTCAGAATTTTAAATTGACTCCATCTTCTTTTTCAGACTCCTTCCTGAGGAATCGCTCCAGTTTGGACCATGAGGCCACAGTCATGATGAAGGCCCAGTTTATGAGCCTGTGGGATGGGCTGGAGACTGGGGCAAGCAGCCCGGTACCTCCACCAACTCACCTCCATAGTTAGATTTGTCCTATTTGCTCTTACATTAAATGGAAATGTTTATTATTCTCTGTCAGTGTGTATTGAGTATTGGCCCTTGGTCTAATGTCTTACTTTAGATCTTAGGTTGTGCTTGTTGTACAGTTAGGTAATGTTCTGGTATTGTTCTTGCAGGTGATGGTGATGGGGGCCACCAATAGACCACAGGATCTGGACCCAGCTATACTGCGCAGGATGCCCACCACCTTTCACGTGGGCCTACCGGTGAGACACACACACACTACAACTTGGATGTGGCCTGAACATGTATGTGGCTTGAACAAGTATGTCAGTTTAGTTGTGGATGCGCTCTCTGATGATCAAGTTGTCATGTAAAAACCTGTGTTTCTCATTGTCATGTACTTCTATAGATCACAAGACAGAGGGCAGAGATCCTGAAGTTGATCCTGGCAGGAGAAAATGTAAGTAAACATTTTCTCTTGTATTCTTTGTTTGCTCCCAGAACTAGCCTGTTTCTAAACATAAACCTTGGTGCATTCCAATGACAGCTGTTACAATGACATAAAAACCAAACCAATATTGATTATTTATCATGCAACCATACTCACAGTATTTTCCCCTCTCCTCCTCAGCTAAGCAATGCCATTAATCTGAAGGAGATAGCAGAGAAGTTGGAGGGTTCATCAGGGCAGTGACCTCAGGGAGCTGTGTCGTGATTCTGCCATGTACCGTGTTAGAGACTTTGTCCGCAAGCAGCAGGTGAAACAGATAGCTCAGCAGATGCAGGAGGTCGACGAGGAAGAGAGGTCACTTTTATCAACTCAGGCATCAAACTACTGGTCTTTGGCCTTTTTGCTATCCTGAATGTAACTGTAAGTTACGGTATAAATTAGTATGTTACGTTTGATATGGTTACATAAGACAGAAGGTTACTTAAGGCCAAAACGAAAGGAGGGTGGTTGGTCAGGGAAGACGGGTGGGCGTATAATGCGAACGTCTAGCAACCCAAAGATTGCGTACACGGACAACTTTAGCGTTTTAGCTCATTTTCAAATTTGCAACTACTTACTACCTTTGAGCTACTTTGCAACTACTTAGCATGTTAGTTAACCCTTTAACCTAACTCTTAACCTCAACCCCCTAGCCTAGCTAACGTTAGCGTTAGCAACAACAAATTAAAATTTGTAACATATAAGGATTGCAAATTCGTAGCATATTGTTCGAATTGCAGTTCGTAACATATCATACACATTTTTATTCGTAACATATAATACGAAATGGATAATGGACAGCCACAAATTTCTACATACCGTACGAAACACAACATATAATAACTGGAGACAGATTTACATTTACTATGTGTCATGCAACCTGAGTCCAGGTTGCATGAAACACCTGTGTCTGCATCTATGTTTGACCTCTGACCTTTGTGCCATCCGTCTCCAGAGCAGGGGTGGAGGAGTGTCTGCGGCCCATCACCCAGCTGGACCTGCTATTCGGGCTGGACAAGATGAGAGTCCAAAAAAGCCACCGTGCCCCAGGAACTCATACCCAAAGAGGTGCCTCTGGACTAAACCTTTCTTTCAGATACCCTGTTTATCCTCCCCATGCAATCCTAGCACAGTGGTCCAGAGCAGTCTAAGATCTCTCTGTATCCCTTCTCTTATCCCATACCAATACCCTTGTCCAATTCATTCATACTGTCTGACCACTGTTACAGACTGAATTTACCAACTAATTCCCCAACCCCCCACCCCCCACACTCATCAGACTATAGCCTTAGAAGCACAGGCTTTGTACATTAAGATGGGCAGCAGGGCTGTCAACTGTAACGCTCCTGCACTGACAGACAGAGCACAGGGTGAGCGGGACCAGACAGTCTGTCTCTGAGTACTCTGACATCATTGATGTTTTTGTTATTTTTATTATTATTATTATTATTATTATTATTATTATTATTATTATTATTATTATTATGTAGCACACAAGTCTTATTGAGAATGTGAATTTATATTGTTTTTTAATCATGCTACCTTTCTGGAAAAATACTGAATATGGAATATTACTGTATTTGCACTGTCAATGTTATTTTGAACAAATACTAAACTGTGCCTAGTTGTCTGCATGTCTGAGCAATTGAATGAAAAACAGTAGCAACACAATAGTACATGTGATTTAATGTAATGAAGACCAAGGTTTTGGATGACAAAAAATAAACGTTGATCTACCAGTTGAATCAGTTGGTAGATCGCATATTCTGAAGCTACTTTTTATTGAATGTTCATCATTGTATTTAATACTGTACTACTCCAAATGTTGGATAGAAATTATTCCTAACCACTTTATTCATCTTTACTGATGAAGGTGGCTGTCTCATGTATTCTTTGTCACAGTAATATGCCCTTCATTGGGCTGCAATCTTACACAGGCAAACTAATGTTCTAGAAATTATTTGAATCTTTATATTATGTGACAAAGCAGCTCTGCTTGTGCCAGGTCCATTACTATTACAGTTCTACTTGTGAGAGCTGCATGTTTATTTTATTTTGACCAACCTTCAAAAATAGGTATTGACCAACACTGCAGTCTGTCTCAAAATGGCCATCATTCCAGTCTGTCTCCATGGAGACCAGACAGAGTCCTACAGTTAGGTATTTGTCCCTAGTGTGACCCTACAGTGTCTGCTACTGTTTTATGTTCTGTCTTTCAAACAAGCATCTGGTTTAGACCAGGGGGTGTTCCAGAAAGATTGTTTGACCAATTTAGGATCCCTGAACATGTCTGGGATTTCTTGGTTCCAGAACGGCTGCTTTTCTTTTAAGTAATTAGGCTAAGCGAAGTGCAGATTGTGCATTCAAAAAGGTCCTCATGTCGATGATAGAAAACATTTGAGAAATGGAGTCAAAAGACAGAACTTTAGAACAAGAAACAATTGTAACAACATACAACGAATATGTTCACATATTTACCAAATGAATTAATACATCCACCACTGCAAAAGCGAGAGCGGGAGCCTGGCAGAAAATTGTAGACAGAGTAAATGCCAGTGGTGTAGTGGAGGGTATACACAGGTATACGCCATATACCCACCATTTTTTTGTGGGTATTGCGTATACTCTTAATCCCCACAGTGTGTATCAAAGTAATGTAGTGGAGATATACACCGTGTCAATTAAGGCTGATGGAACTGATCAGAATGTATAGCTTCAAATGTTGATAAATGTGCACACAGCGGTACGAGCTAATGTTCCAAAATCCAATTTGCGGGAAAACACTGTCCTAAAATGTGCACCACACATGCGAGAGGTGCCATGGACAGACATGGAAATATCAGTTCGAATTTAGAAAGAGGGGAGATCTAAAGATGCAACAACTATCATGGGTTGCTAATATGACTAGGATAATGCCTTTTGCTGCTACACAATGAAAGAAAGTTGATTTAAAAACCAAAAGAACAGGAGAGCGCATATGAGGCAGTCTTCATAAAATAATTGCCTCAACGTTTCTATGGGGGATTTTGGCTATAGGCTACTTTGAAGCAAGTTAAGACATGCTAGGGCTGGGCGACGTATAGAATTCATTCGAATGTATATTTTTGCGCGATATTCCAAATGCCTTTATGGCAAGAATCAAGGTTTTTTGTATTTTGTATTTTTTTATGAGCGTTTGTTGGCTTTTTCTCATCTTGTCTTTTTGGTTTCGACTCCTGTGCTGTGTGCACCTTCCCATTTGATCTGTATATAATGATGAGATGCACATCTCCGCCCTAACAATGGGAGTCGTCCCAAAGGCAGGAAGGCAGGCGACGAGCTGCATTTTATACAAAGACTGTTATACTAGCTGTCTAGTCTGTGTTTTATAAATGTTCAATTGTGTTTGAGAGATTGCTTATGAGACCTGTGTTACTTTTCTATAGCCTAATGCCGGCTACAAGAAGTTAGTCATTATTAGTGAATGTGTATTATGCATGGTTCTGGTTCTTTTCTTTACAAAAAATGGCATTTTCATAGACAGATAAGTGATTATTGCAAAAAAAGCAGGTTAAACTATTTTGATAAATAATGAAATGATTAGTGCGTCTCATTGTTGTGATTTAGCCTAGGTACACTATATATACAAAAGTATGTGGACACCCCTTCAAAGTAGTGGATTTGGCTATTTCAGCCACACCCGTTATGACAGGTGTATAAAATCGAGCACACAGCCATGCAATCTCCATAGACAAATATTAGAATGGCCTTACTAAAGAGCTCAGTGACTTTCAACCTGGCACTGTCATAGGATGCCTCCTTTCCAACAAGTCAGTTTGTCAAATTTCTGCCTTGCTAAAGCTGCCCATGTCAACTGTAAGTGCTGTTATTGTGAAGTGGAAATGTCTAGGAGCAACAACAGCTGAGCTGCGAAGTGGTAGGCCACACAAGCTCACAGAACGGGACCACCGAGTGCTGAAGCGTGTAAAGATCGTCTGTCCTCTGTTGCAACACTCACTACCGAGTTCCAAACTGCCTCTGGAAGCAACGTCAGCACAATAACTGTTCGTCGGGAGCTTCATGAAATTGGTTTCCATGGCTGAGCAGCCACACACAAGCCTAAGATCACCATGCGCAATGCCAAGTGTCTGCTGGAGTGGTGTAAAGCTCGCCGCCATTGGACTCTAGAGCAGTGGAAACGCGTTCTCTGGAGTGATGAATCACACTTCACCATCTGGCAGTCCAATGGACAAATCTGGGTTTGGCGGATGCCAGGAGAACGCTACCTGCCCGAATGCATAGTGCCAACTGTAAAGTTTGGTGGATGAGGAATAATGGTCTGGTGCTGTTTTCTATGGTTCGGTCCAGTGAAGGGAAATCTTAACGCTACAGCATACAATGACATTCTAGATGATTATGTCCGTCCAACTTTGTGGCAACAGTTTGGGGAAGGCCCTTTCCTGTTTCAGCATGACAATGCCCCCGTGCACAAAGCGAGGTGCATATACAAATGGTGTGTCGAGATCAGTCTGGAAGAACTTGACTGGCCTGCAGAGAGCCCTGACCTCAACCCCATCGAACACCTTCGGGATAAATTGGAACGCCGACTGTGAGCCAGGCCTACTCGCCCAACATCAGTGCCCGACCTCACTAATGCACTTGTGGCTGAATGGAAGCAAGTCCCCGCAGCAATATTCCAACATCTAGTGGAAAGCCATCCCAGAAGAGTGGAGGCTGTTATAGCAGCAAAGGGGGGACCATCTCCATATTAATGCCGATGATTTTGGAATGAGCTGTTTGACTAGCAGGTGTCCACCTACTTTGGGTCATGTACTGTATAACTTCACAAGCCCTGAATTCATTACATTATTTCTGAATGTTTGAAATGCAGTGTATTTGACCTTTTAATTGTACAACAAAGCTTATTTAGAGAACAAAAATCGAGATATATATCGTGAATCGCCCATATGTTTGAAAAAATCTAGATATGATTTTTAGGCCATATCGCCGAGCCCTAAGACATGCCTCATAATATCAAGTAAAACATCCAGGTTTCAAACAATTAAGGAACAGGAAACATATAGTGATCCTAATGATATGTCTAACCATCTTCTGGTAGATGGAAAAGCAGAAAAGCTACTAAACCCTCTCAAGGCAAGGATCACCACAGCTCTGTTGAAAGGCATCCTTCCAGAGAGTCTCAACGCTGCAATGATCACATTATAAAAATAAAGAAAAGATAAGGATCCTTTGCAATGTGGTTCGTATCACCTTGTCTTTATTAAACGTAGACTATATAAAATTATCACAAAGACAGTGTGTCGTATGGAACAAATAATTCAAAAGCTAATTTATCCAGGGCTGTTCATCTTCAGACAATTTACACAGATTGTTGAACATTATCTACCTCTCTAAGGATCATACCTCTCCCAAAGTAGTACTATCTCTTGATGCCTAAAAGGCTTTCGATGGAGTAGAATGAAATGATCTTGTACTGGTTCTACAGAGATTTTAAGTTGGTTCTATGTTCTGTTCATGGGTCAAGACACTGTTTAACTCTCCTAAAGTCCTGGTGAACACTAATGGGTGTAGCTCTAGTCCTTTTATCTTATCAAATCTTATCTATTTGCCCTGGCTACCGAGCCGTTCGCATCAGCCATCCGCCTTTCAACCGATTTTACTGGAATTCAAGTCGGGGCTTAGTCGCAGGTGAACTCATTATATGCTGATGATATTTTGCTCTATTTGTCAAACCCAGAATCTTATTTTCAATGTATTTAGCTCTATTTCAGGATACCAAGTAAATTGGTTTAAAACTGACAATGACAATTTCTAAATTCGATGCTGAATCACTAGAAAGTTATTTCCCATGGAAATGGTCTCATGAGCACATTAAGTATCTTGGGGTGTTGATCCCTTGTAAACTTGACGATGCATATAAAATCAATTATCTCCCTATTATATCTAAAATTGAAAGCGATATTACAAGACGGAAATGATTGCCAATTTCCTTTTTAGGGAGAGTGAATATAATTAAAACGAACATTCTACCCAGATTTAACTATCTGTTCCAGACTCTGCCCATTAT